CTTTTATTCATTATGCCTTTCATATTTAACTGTGACCTTCTTCAGCCTTGGGATTCATCACTCTTCACAGAGATGAAAAAGTGTCTCACTTTCCATAACATCACCCCTCCCCATATATGGGTTGATGGTGTTTACATGCAGTTATAACAACTGAATAATTGTAAGCAGATAAGAAAACTACCAGCCATTTATTCATAAACTGGTCAAAGGAGCTTTAGCTTTTATCCTAGGATAAATATAAAAGTAATCCCAACCTGACAGGTTGGATACTGCGGATTTTTGTCAGAAGGTAGGAGTGAGGGATACAAGATAAACTGAAATATAATCTTAAATTTTAACAGCAGGGAACAAACACCACTCCCAGGAGGATCTCTACTTACTTTTAACTTTCAGCAGACCTGGGCTGATACTTCTCTTTCTCTTGCATACACAGGGAGTACTCCATATATTCGCTTTACTTCAGCTAATATTTTGTGTATGCAAACACTATGTGTTTAGGTGCATGAGACTGTTATGAAGTCTCTGAGGGAGGTGGATTGAATTCCTGGCAAATGCTTCGGCATGCAGCTAACTTATTTAGCTGTACTGCCTGACTTGATTTAGCATTCAGAGAGGTAACAAGCATTTAGGACTCTGAAAGATGCAGTAGAAATTGCTCAGTCTTCCTTTTAATGCTGTCTTGACTAGGGGGTGATAGGAATTTCACCAAATGAAAGCCTACTACAGATAAATTTGAAACCAATGAAAGAAAAAGCTAAGGCCAGTAGTTACAAGATCACAACAGGTTAAAGGGAAAGCCATACAGATGTGAATTATAGGCATCTGAATTTGGGCCTGTTCATTGGGAATGAAGGCTGGGGTGTACCCTGGAATACTTACATACTGGTGCCTGGGTGCATCTGTTTCCTGACATACATATTTCACATAGAATAGGAAGCCCTCTGTCATGTAAAGGGGTGCAAGCAAGGCATGGGAAAGGGTAGAGCAAGGCCGGGATGTTTGGGATCCCCAGTGGCTGTTGCCAAACATGTCTGGACTTCTTATGCCTCATGCCAGGGGCTGCTGTGACTTTAACAGATGTTGAGCCAAGGCTCCAGCCTCCAGACCATGCAGTCCCTGCAGGTGATTTCAGATTGTGTTTTTATTAATTGGGGGTGAGACTGGTTTGAGGAGGTTTTTGGGGTTTGGGTTTTTTTTTTCATGGGATTTTTAGCTCTAGAACTCTGGGATTGACCAAAACCATCAGTGACATGCAGTGCTCAGCAGCAAGGAGTTTTCTGGCTCTGGTCCTTGAAAGCATGCACAATTACAGCTATTTCAGAAAGCAGTTGACAACCTAAATGTGTTATGCTATTGTACATCTGCATTTTCATAGCTAACAGTCTTCTGTGTCAGTTCACGCCTGTTGCTTCTTGCCTAAGTTGTTTTGTGTGCACCTGCAATGCACAAGATCCTTCCAAGCTTTTGAATAGTGTCGGCTTCAGCAAATTAAAGGGTGATGGTGCCTCATCAGCCCTGCACAAGTTGTTCACTTCTGCTCTTTGTATTCATGTTGAAAACATAACTGAAATATTCCTCTTCAGCCTCTGTCAGAGCGAACAGGATGCTATCTTACAATAAGCCCTTACATGATTGTGTATCATTACAGCATCTTACTTCTGAAAGAACAGTAAAGATATATAGGATGTGCCTTTGTAATTGAGGACAGTCAAAAATCCTAAATGAATCCCAACCTATATAGGTCCTGTCATGAACTGTGCGTAAGATACGATGACTTGGTTGACATTGTGCTCCCAGGGGAAGTCAGATGAGGGATGGGAAAGAGTAGATGCTTCTGGCATCGTCTCAGAGAAGCCAGACCCAAAACAGCAGTACTTAAATACTTCTGAAAAATCTCGCTTGCCTGGAGTGCAGGAGAAGTCAGATGAGGGAATGGCATGCTGGAAGGATCTGCCAATAAAGGGCAGGTGGACCAATAAAGAAGAGGGAATGATGCTCACAGTGTGCTGGTCCTGGGCTTGGAGAATTACCTGATGAGGAGGAGAGAAATTAATATTTTATAGCTATTCATCACCATTCCGGCTGCATGAAAAGGCAAAGAAAGAAGTGGAGAGCGGTAGGCTGGGAACACATAATGTGCCTTTGGTGGTGCTGTGGGTTTGCTCTGATGAATCTGTCTTGCATCTCACCCAAAGAAAAGAAATTGGCTGATGATGTGCTTTGCAGATATATCAGTGCTGGCACTTAAACAACTCTATATGTGGTACACAGGTGTTTGATTTTGTTTTTGTTAACGAGCCAATAGCAGGCAGGTTTAGGGAAAATGGACCACAGTTACTGTAGAGACAGTAGAGACAGAGTTTCTCTCAGTGCTTGTAATCTAACTCCACCATATGTTCAGTGTATGAGCTCAAGCCATGACACATCTTCCAGTCAGTGAGCCAAACCCACATCTGGTGAAAGATAAGTGTGGAACTACATCTACCAGTGTTACCCAACCTCATACATCGTTCCGTAGTCCTGTCTTGCTTTGTTGAGTTAAGCAGATGCCTCTGACAATTCTCCCTGATTATTCCTCCTGTCACAAACTCCTGTCCCTTTTGTTGCTGCTTGTATGCTTTCCAGAAAACACTCTTCACAGCAGATGTTTGCTAATGCAGAAAGCATTAGAGAAATAATTGTGAACTATTTCAGTGTGTTTGGGGGTTTTTTTATACCAGTTGCAGTTTTTGAATATGAGGATTAAGCAAAAAAGTGGCTAGATTTGGGAAAGTCTTCAGGTCTAATTAAAATGAAATGCTGCTCAGGTATTAACTGTAATATTTCTGTGGGAATGGATCAATGCAATGTGTGCCAGAAAACCTAACACAGGTGCTAATGCAATGTAATCTTTTGAGGGACAGCAGAGGGGATAACAAATTGAGGCAATGTGTAGGTACTCTACTGGATTAAGAATATATAAACTAAGATTTCTTTGCTGAAACTATGAATGACATTGGGAGGGGGGGAATATTAGTAAAAACTTAGGTGCATTTTGAGATCAAGTTGTAAAAAGCAAGCATGGGAAAACCAATTGAAAGCATAACATTAAATGAGTGGCAGGCTGGCTGCTCTTTCCCATATCTGCTGATGCTTGCAGGTAGGCTTTGTTAAAATAATTGTAGGGAGCTAAATAGCACGGAGTTTTTCCAGATGTAATAGCTCCAGGAAGTTCTCAGCAGCATGTTCTCTTTACAGGAGCTGTTTTCTTGTAGCAGCTTATTTAGAGCTGGAGAGAAGACAGCAATTCCTGCGTGTTATTCACCTTGTTCTCCTCAGGTTGTCTTTTTTAAATAAACCTTTATTTCCTCTCTTTTTTTTCCTATTTCTTTGCCCTTTTGTAGGAAGGGTTCTTTCTCAGTCAGTGTGTGGAAAAGAAATAATGGAAATACCCTGCATCTGCAGTGTATCTTAACATTGCTGGGGACCAGAAGCCATTTCAGTGTCTGTAGTAGTCATTGCTTGCTGCTCTTATCTCCTATCCAAGACTGATTTACAGTGCAGTTAATGCCACTCTCCAGCCTGCTGAGCCACTATTAAAGTACACGCAAAAAACCACACATGCAGTTTGAGTCACAAGGGAGTATACTGTAAGAAAATAGTGCATTGATTCTTTTCTTTGGTGTAAACAGAGGGAGGGGGAAATACAGCTCGGTACTTTGAACTCACAGGGTGCTCCACGGAGAATGGAAAGGGGATGCAGTAACAAGTGTGGGCATTTTTCCATTTAAGAATGGAAAAAAACCCACCCCATGTTCTAAGAAAGTCCTAATTCATCAATTCTTTGTCTCCAAGAATTTCACTTGCTTCTGCAAGTGTCATTTTGTCTTGAATCGTAGTAGCTTCCTGGGAAGGTGTTGTAGCGTAGGAGTTAAGGGATGTGCAGTCTGTGTTAAAGTCGTATTTATGATTATACTCTGAACTAATCTCTTAAGTTTTTGTGAGACAAAGTGGCATTTATGAGTAATTTATTCATGACGTGGTAAGCAGAACTATAGCTATTTCTTCCCAAGAGTTATTTGGAAGAGCTATTGGCAATATGAAAATTAACGTTAGCAAGAGGACATCAGTAGAGAGCGGCTGGAGAGAGAAAGGAAGTCTGCATATAGCCTCTTGGGAATATCTTGGGATTTATAGTTTTTCATACTTTCATTAATTTGAATACTGCCCAGAATATGAAATGTACTTTATATTCCTCCAAAACTCCCCACCCCTTAACTCCATTCTAAAGTCTGAATGCAGTACTGTATCCCAGGTGTGCCAACTTCACAGCTGGTTGCCTGTAGCAGACTCACAAAATGACTGAGTTGCTAAAGTGAGAATTATTTGGAACCTCTTTGTCTAAATACAAAATTAGCACTTGGGAGCAAGATTTGGTAATGGAACTAGTTCCCCAGACAATCAATTCAATGGCAGCAACAATCAAACTGTAGAAATTATTAGGACAGAATTAACAACAAAAGAGATTTTACTCAGTTGCATAATAATAATTTGGTGTCTTTTCTGCATGTTGAATGCTGAATGAAAAGCTGGTCCTTTGTTACGAAATATGGAATTTGAAAGGTTCAGGGAAGGATAGTGAAGATCACTATAGGTACAAAATGGCTTTTGTGTACAGAACTAGTAGGACATGCATTACACGTTTGCTGTTGCACCTCGGCTGAAGTCACATGGCTAACTTTGAGGTGCTTTGACTCTGTTTTAATTAAATTCCCCTTTCCTTTTGTGTCACTGCGTAAGCAATTGGGTGTTAGTGGATACTGAGACACTGCTTGACTCCTTTTCTTAATAACATGGTGCCAAAGCAAACTGGAGAGTGAACAAGAGTCAGGATTCAGTATCAATGTAAATTCACTTTGTTCAAATGCACTTTTCTAAGTCAGTGTTTACAGCTTTTGCTGGAGTCCTGCTGTTTCATGACTGGGTTTCAGGTCCAGCTTTTGTCTTCTACATTACTACAGGTGACCAGAGAGGGAGTCCGTCACGATGCCCCTACATAGACAGTAAGGGAAACAGACTCTTGAAAGCTTTGGAAGTGTTGGGATGAAGTGGGTGGATGTGCAGCCTGTGCTGAGGCTAACTTGGCATCAGGAGAGGTGCCTGTGGGATGCTGCTGGTTGGGGGCAGTTCAGTGAGTTTGCAGTGGGTGTAATAGTGTGGCATCGTAGAGCTACTTCCACTGAGGAAAGGGCTTTCCCAGACCTACCTTGGTGCAGCATAGTCCCTGTCTGCTATCCCAGTGCAAATTTACATTCTCTTTAGGAAGCCTGCTGCTGGCTGGCCGGAGCCTGCTTTGCCCATGTTCTGCACTGTCTGGCTGCAAATCAGCTTTAAAGCAAGAGCATGATGAGCTGGTGGGGGGAAGCACTGCTGGGAAGCTCTGCATTTCCCTGCGCTACCTGTGTATCTCTGCAGGTCCACACAGCTCGGCGCAGGAGTGGAGCAAACCTCTGTCACTAGACAGCCCTGTAAATAAACCCAAGCCGGCAGAGCACTGACTGTCACCCTATGTTTACCCAAGTCACAGGTCTAGATGTTGCCTCCCAGCAAACTCACATGCACTGCAAGATCCATTTAGCCAATGCTAAACACGTTCCAAATCCTGCCGTAGTATTTTCCTTATATTTGACAGTTGTTTCCTTTATTATGTGGCCACTCATGAGGGAGCTATTTCATAGGGATTTCAAATGCCTTCTTTGTAAAAACTGCAACTCTTCCTATTTGCAGGAGAAAGTCTGTTTTATTCCTCTTGTTCTGTTTCATTTTTCCTAAACTAAGCACTTTGCTTCAAAAGGGTGTCCTTGTAAATCTTTGTCCTTTTAAATTCAAGGGTCAATGATACTTTCTATATGCAAATTCAGTTGTTAAATGTATTGCGCATTACTACTCCTGGCAGATGGGAAGAAACTGCAAATTTATCATGGTGATGGCTTCAGGAACAAAGTAAGTAATTATAGACACAGTATGACAACTAACCACAGTCTCTTTTATTCTCTAGTGTTCTCAGTAGCCTTTCGTATGAAAGAAGTAGAAGGTTACCTTAGCTGTGTGTCTGTTTCTAAGCCAGTATTACCAGGGACTACAGTGTATAGCTTTTATTATTACCCATTAGAATGCAATTTAACTTCTGGCCCCCTAATAAAACTCTTCCCAGAGATGCATTCATAAATACAAGTTTATTTTGTGTTAAACTTTATGTTTGTTTCTTGTACCCTATAAGGAATCATAGGCAGTTGGAAGGGGAATATTATGCCTTTTTTTTCTAGTCATATTTCATATACTGCATAATCCAGGCTAATATTCAGAATGTATTTTACAAACTAACTGGTTTGTGTTTATGATGATGGTGGTGGCCATGAATTCTGCATGGTCACAGCTCCACTGTCACAGTAAGTACAGCAGATCACAATCCAAATATGTAGGTTGCTAAAGAGGAAGAGAAATGGAGGTTTGCAATCCTCTTGGAACAGGTGGAGACTTCCGTGGAGCTGCTTACCATTTTTGGAGGGAACAGAAAGCGGCAGCAGGTCCAAGTTGCTCCATGAAGCCATGTAGTTTCTGCTTGGCGAGGCTCGGCAGCATCACCTAACATCACCCGGCCTTCCTGCTGCTGGGCTTGACTGGTTGCTTCACTTAGAGGCATCAACAGCAGATGCCTGGGGGCAGATTGTGTTCCTGTGTCTCCTGTCTGCAGCCTCTCAGTTTAGATTTGAGCTTCAGTTATCCTTACATACTCAACCATATTTTCTTACCAGCTTGCAGTCAGTTACTATATATTGATCCTTAGTGAATGTAGTGATCTGCACTCCAAATGACTAATTAAATATGCCATAAATCTGCAAGTGAATGAGTACTTCATGTGAAAGAATTCCTTTTTTTATGTAATAAAATATCATGTTCTAACCACAGGTGATTGAAGCATAGTTGGAAGTGATCTTACCACCGGCAAACTGTATAAACTGCAGTGCAGTGATGTACGAAGAGCCCCGGAGATTGTACGGACATTAAGAGGTCAAAAGTCCAGTGGATAATACTCATAAACAGCCAAAGGAAAATACGTGATTGGGCTGTTACACTGTGCACCTTGGATATCACTTTTCTAATGTTTTGGGAAAAGCAAAGTAATTCCATTGGTGTTAATGTTACTAGAGAAGACATCAGGTCATGCTTTCCTGCATGTAGCATAACAACCCATTTTTGGACACAGGCAGAGAGGTTAAATGCAGAAGAGCCATGCACTGGCAAGCCATTTGCCTGGCCAGCTCACTTTGCAGTGATAACTGAGCAGAGGCAGCAAAATAGCAGAACATGGCCAGAGGGGCTTGCCAGTGCTGAGCAGAGGAGCAGATACCTCCTTGGTGTTAGAGACAGCCTAAAGTCAAGCTTATATTTGGCTTGTTTGAGCTAGTGCCCCTGGAGTCTGTGCAGATCATCGGTTTTACAACATCCAAATCCTCCTGACGATATAAAACTGGAGCTTTTCTGGTAGTGCTTATCAGGCCACCTCACTGACTTCAGGGATGTGACTCCTCTTAGACCAGCTAAGAATTTAACCTGGCCTAGACTTTTCTGCCATAAAAGCCTGAGAGCGCAGTCTTGCCTCATGATGACAAGTGCAATCTTCACAGGAAAATAACAATGCGCAGTTGCCCATTCTGCTTTTCCTTGCACACTTAATTCGGGTGGGCGGGTATTTTGCTTCCTCCCCTGGAAAGTGGTGCTGATAACAGAAGAGTAACCCTGCTCCATTTAAAATATAGCTGGCAAGCAGAATGCCTTATCCCTCCCTAGACAGAGAAGGATCTCCAGGGGAGTAAACTGTCTGATATTTAATGGCTGCAAGTTGTCAGGACTATACTCTGGTAGGCCAGAGACTCTAATACTGATCTAGTACTGATTTATTACTGAGGTAAGGTATGTGGTCTATGGATCTTGTGCCTGCAATGAGGCTTTTCTTAAATGTCTGAGAACAAAATACTGCTCTCATCCCACAGTGCCAACTCAGGCACTCCTCCTCCTACTCCTCCTCCTCACCTCCATCAGCAGAACAACAACTTCTATGACATACTGAAACGAAAGTCAATTCCTAAACTCCTAAACCTGTTAGCAGGTTTAAACTCCCTGTATCTTCCATTTTCATACCTGCATGTAAATATTGTACTTGGTGTTATTCTAAAACTCACTGAACAATGATTTAGTAACCTTTATACAGCTTTATTGAGAAGCACATGAAATAAGAATGCTTAGGCTGTTTCTCAGCAAATCCCTGTGACATTATCTGTATAGTACTGAAAAATACCTGTGTTCAGTGACCCTCAAACTCACGCTGTCACCTATAAGAGGAGAAACTTGTGATCTCTTGGCAGATCCAGCAGGAAAACAGCAGGTGTAGGCACACTGCCGTGCAGACCTCACTAATTCTTTTTGTGAGGTGGCATAACCTCAGTAACGAGAGGAATCGGATGCCTCATTCCTAGGAATGTGACTTGTCTGAAGTGGAATCACTCCAGGCATATGCTGTTAGATAATGTTCTCCAGCACAGTAAACTCCTTTAGAGTACCTCATCTGAAGAATGCCTTTATATTGCTATTCTAGATGCTGTCTAATTTTTTTCCAGTATTCATCTTAGAATACTTTTCCACTCAGGTGTGTGGGAAATGAGTGCAATCTGTCTTTCACATAGTTTTTCTGCAGTTAATCATTTGTCTTGAGCAACTGGTGCTGCAATATTATGAGACTTAGGATAAAATCTCAAAGGCTGATTTACAGATGGTAAGCTTCCTATCAAATCTGAATTTGATCATTGGAGAGTTTCAGTAAGTGTCTTGTATCCAAAGGTGCGAGTTGCCTTTTTTTAACTGTATGATACAGGTGCTCAAGAACAGATAATAATCCCACCCTCTCAAATGATATGATAATAGGTGAAAGCTATCAGCTGTTGGCAAGCTATCTCTGAGCTGCTTATGCTCTGGTTGTATTCTCCATTTTCAGAACCTCTCACAAGGCAGGTTAGGTGCTAACTGAAACATATATGTGATCTTGCATAACATGTGTTCGAATACACAGTCACCAATCACAGAATAAGCTCACTCTGACTTCCAGGTCTGCAATGTCTTGTTTAACAGCCAGGTTTATAGAGCAGTACATACAAGAATATGTAAATAATTTTCCAGGACCTGGAATAACATTAAAGTTTCTGAGTTATGTAGAAAAATCTCAGAGAGCTCTTAAAATGAAACTGTTTCCCATAGTAATTTGTGGTTAAAATGGTGACATTCTAAACTTCAGAATATGGTAATGCAGGCCTGAAAGAACTTGTATGTAGAAAGACTTAAAGTGTCCTTTTCATCACAGGAATGTAATGAGAACTGCTACAGAATCTTAGTTAATGTCAGTTGTCTTCAGTGTTCAGTGGGTTTTGTTTTGGGCTGTGCATACAATTGAGAAGTATCTTTAATCCAAGTAAATCAATTATAACAAATATAATAAACGTATTATGCTATGAATTATGCATAAATATGCATTTATGAGTATGTGACAAGCATAGATTTAACCATATAAATAAGTAAACCAGTTGTGAATAGGTATTTGTTATTTTTGTGAATATTCAAAAAACCTTCCTGATACTCTAATGAAGTCTGTTCCATTCACTTCATTAGATTGTGGTGATTTAATCCAGTTTAGGAGGCTGTAGATTCAAGACCAAATATTTCTGCTTTGCTATCAGTTGTTATAATCTACTATCTTTTTGCTCTCATTTGCCTTGGGTGATTTCTGTCTTTTCAGTGACATTTCAGGGCCCATTGTAGTCAATGTGTAAACCTAGAACTCCCAGTGATTGATGCATTTTTGTTACAAAATACCATGGCTTCAGTGGGAGTTTTAGCTGAGTGTAGATTACAGGATCAAGCTCTCTGAAGCCAAACAGCATTTCCAGAAGCACTTACTAAATAATAGAGAATTCTGGAAGGTAGCCAAGCCCTACATGTGGGTGTCAGCGCTGCCCCATGCCTGAATACAAACTGCTCCTTCGTTTCTGTGTCACCTCCTTTATGTTGTATAATACCACATGCCCAACCAACACATTAAGTCTTTGCTGTTTGCGGGGGTTAAAGGTTGAAGAGCTGTTAACAGGTGCTAGCTTTGTCTTTGGAATTTCTTTGGTAAGTGAAATAATGAGGGAAGGAAGTGTCAGGTTTTCCAAAGTCGAATTCAGATGCTGCGCAGCAGCGGTGGCTTTGATTTTAATCACAAAGATTCTGAAATGAAAACAGAGCTTTGAAGTTTGGGGAAAATATTAAAATTTGCTCTCCTGTTTGTTCACCAGCATGACTTTGGACGTTCAGACTTAAAAGCTGTTACTGGCACACAGATCTCCTTTAAAGTGGATGATGATAATGGTGACTCTGCTCTTATGCTAAGCAGGTTGGAATATAGCTTTTAAAAAATGACCGTACATGAAAGGCAGTTCCCCCCTCCTCCTTAAAAACCATTTTGAACAAAGTGAATGCTGTTCCATCTCATAAAGACAGATGATTGACATTATATAGTGCATGAAATTTTTCTTTTCAGAATCATGACATTTTATAATAAAAGTAGAGATAATGCTGGGAGCTGGTAATTACACTATATACTCCCCCAACAAAGAAGATCCATCGGGGAAAGAAATGAAACAATATGTCTTTACAAAGAATGCAATTAAGTAAAGCTAGATTAGAGAAACCACTGAGGATAAGCGACATGCATTATTATCTCAAATGTGTAAATTCAATTTTCTTTTTTTCCTAATAATTCTTATTTCACCAGCATTTTTTCCTCACTCCCTGGAGATCAACTTGCAACAGCTTCATTTTCCTATTGATCTATTTAATATTTTTCTATTGTGTGTAATAAAACACTAAACAGAATTTGCTCTCAATGCACAAACAGCCTTTCTGTCTCAAAAGAGAAAGAGATAATATTGTTACAAAAATCGTCTCCCTGGGGTGGGTGATGACATTAATATTTTTGTTAGGGGAGATGGGGCTCAAAATCCAATCTTGAAATTACCAGTATTTACCAGAGCCACTCACAGAAGTAGAGGGGAAAGGTGAGATGGCTGAGTAAATATCGTCATCTCTGCATCTTTAAAGGCAGTGCTAAAAAGGCATTAAAATAAGGATGGAAAGACTCCCCTTTGGAATATTTATCAGAGGTGCTTCATCCTAGTGGCAAATCAAGACAAGACTTGCATGGTAATATCTGTTGATGTGA